AATATTTATTATGCTCCTACCATGTTCCAGATACTGTGGGGAAAAATGATATAATTCTTCCTCTAAAGAGCACCATCTCCAGTAGAGTAGACACACATGAAAACAACTTAAATTCTGTAATAATTAGAGAATGTCTTGGAATGAACAAAGAGCGTGGACTGTGCATTCAGACAGCAGTAGGTTAAAGATTCCAGGTCTAAGACTTTGTAGCTGTGTGATTATACCTTGAGCATCTTTAATTTCTAATCTGTAAGTTGTGGATGATAATACCCATTTCTAGGGGATATTGTAAAAATTAAATGAGAAAATGCATAGTGCCTGGAATATAATAGATAGATTTAATAAAGGAGATGAAAATAACAACTTGTTCCTACAACAAGGCTTCTCAAGCTTCAAAGCACATCAGATTGCCTGAGAATCTTGTTAAAAATGCAGATTCTGGTTCAGTAGGCCTGGGGTGGGGCCTGAAATCCTACATTTCTAACAAGTCCCTTGGTGATACCCAGGCTGCTGCTTCGAGCACTGCAGTTTCTGTATCAAGGGTTTAGTGATTATTTTGTTTTTGTTTTTATTTTTAAGTAGCTGATGCTGGAGGTTAATCTTAAAAGATGAGTAGGCCATCTAGGAAGACAATAGTCAGTGGAGAAAAGGACATTCTACGTGTAGGAATGGAAGTAAAGGGCTTGCCAGTAGCATAGAAATCATGGAAGCATATGAAGCCTGGAAGGTGACCTGAGGAGAGAAATATGGAATGAGAAAGCGCATCAAGACATAGGGTCTTCTATGCGTTGCCAAGGAGTTATTTATCTTGTAGGTAATGAAGAACTCACAGAAGGATTTTATGAGTGATTTGATGAGCTATGAGATTTAGATTACCTGGGAAACAATTGGAGGATGGGTTGGATAGAAGAATAATGGAATTCAGGAGGATATTGTTGTATATTTGGTGAGATATGAACCACGGCAGCAATGGCAGTATGAATTGAAAGGAAGTGAGAGGGCGCCTGGGTGGCTCAGTTGGTTAAGCGACTGCCTTCGGCTCAGGTCATGATCCCGGAGTCCCGGGATCGAGTCCCGCATCGGGCTCCCTGCTCAGCGGGGAGTCTGCTTCTCCCTCTGACCCTCCCCCCCCATGCTCTCTCTCTCTCTCACTCTCTCTCTGAAAGAAAGAAAGAAAGGAAAGAAAGAAGGAAAGAAAGAAAGAAGGAAAGAAAGAAAGAGAAGGAAAGAAAGAACTATGGGAGGCATCAGGATATAGAATTGATAAAACTTGGGCATTAATTATTAGGAAGGAAAGAGGACATGAAGTTTAAGGTTCCTGCCAGGTTCTGATTTAGGTGACTGGGTAGGTGATAATATTACTTTCTAAGTAATTCAGGAGGAAGAGAAGAGTTTATGGGAAAGAAAATGAATTGAGCTCGGGAAATGTTGAATTTGTGTCACATCTAACAAAGAAATATCTATTAACAAAGTTGAAGTTATAGTAGAAGGGTGTGGAAACTGTCAGCTTATATTATGGTGGATGGAGTAATGGAGATAAGTTATGTCATTTAAGGAGAATGGTAGAAAGAGAGCAAGAAAAGACATTTATTCAAATCAACATGAGGGGTGAGCAGAGGAAGAGAAACCCACACAAGAATTTGAGAGGAAATAATTAAAAATAGAAAAGCAGAATGAGGACAAATACTGTCAGAAAAGCCTAGGGATATGAGAGTTTCTAGAAGAAACTGATCAGCTGTGTAAAAATGCAGTTAGAGGTCAAATACATAAAGACTGAAAATTAGGAATTGATGATATTTGCCATAGCAGTTTCTGTGGAATAAAGTGTAGAAGAAAGTCAGATTGTGGAGGGTTAAAAATGAATGGAAGATAAGGAAGCAGAGATAGTGATATAAAATATTTTTTCTAGCAGTTTCTCTACAATAGGATAATATTAATAACTAGTAGTCCAATATAGTCCCAAGGGTAAGTTTCATTTAATTGATGGATTGATTGATTCATTTATTCCTTATCTAAAGCATACTTTTGACTGCTAAGAAGGTGTAAATAAAAATAGGAGGTGAAGAGAATTACTACTAGAACAATGCCATTTGAGACTGGAAAAAATAACATGGAGCTGGGCACTTGTGCTGATGGGTCGCTAGATGTGGGGATGGATATCACATGCTTGGTAGCCCAAATCTGTTCTCAAATAAGGAAGGCAGGATCACTGGCTGAGCACTGAAGTGCAACTGCTCCTAGGGACTAAACTGTGTAATGAGGCGTCTCTTCAAACCTGTGCTTTTCTTCAGCAGAACTTGAGCTTCTGCTTGCATTTTCTTTGACATTGTCCGTGAACCTTGTTGTTGCTACTTCAAAAATATAAAGGAGCATGTGTTTTTTAAATAGAGCATCCTCTGATATACTGATCTTTGGAATTCCAAATAGCAAGCTGGCCCTCTTCTCTCTGCACTCCATTCATCTGGTTTTCCAGTCGACAAGAGGAGATAGAGATAGAAAGATGGATTGTGTGTGTGCATGTACATACGTTGTACTCTTTAGAGGTGATGACATGCATAGGACTATCAAAGAAGTCTTCCAAGGTTGCAGAATGAAAAATTTGAAAACTGCTACTTCTATTCATGTGGAATTCTACTTAGTACATACCTCTGAACTCTTTAATCCACATAGCTTTACATGCCAAAATTCTCGTGTTCATTTCACCTAGACAATCATGAGTCTTCATCTTCCTATGCCAGTTCTTAGCTAAAATTCATTCAACAATGAACTAACTTAAAATAGCAGGCTAATATGCCTTGTTGACTATCAGAGCAAAGGCTGGCTTTGGTTTTAGGTTTCAATCTTTAGGACATCCTGCTGAATTCTGGAGATCACCTGCAAGTAGAAATGCAAGTCAACCAGCTCAAAAATCCTTGTTTTCTTGGAGTTGGGCAGCAGGGGAAGATGGGAAGCAGAAATACAGTTTAGGATATAAAAATTATATTTTGAAATGCGTCAACTGATAGAAAATATTATTAAATATTTTTGAATGAATGAAAAACTCTGTAATGACCAATGTCACCTTGACCATTTCAACATGTACTTTTTAGTTAATTCAATTATCCCCTCTGACAGTCTTACCTTTTCCCAGTTTTTTTTTCCAAAACACTTCTTAAATACTGAACACTACAGTTTTAAAATATACACAGGCATCTAATTCTTTAGGCATCTTGAGAATTTGCCTGAACTATACACTGTGAAGCTGATCCGTGACCTAGGAATGAGGTAAAGGAGCCAGGTGCTCTAGTAAACAGCTTAGAAAGTGGTTATGCATTGTTTTTGCCTCCAGGTCAAAATCTGTGACTTTCCTGACACCCTGAAAAATATTAAAGCCCAACATTTTGAAGAACAGTTAGGAATGTTTTTAGGAGGATGCCAAAGGGCATAGACACCATGTTATGCAAAGACTGGAAGAACAAAAACAATTTAATCTAGAACTTTGAGGAAGGCTGAGAGTCGTCTGTTTTAGTATACTCTCAGATACATGTGAGAGACACCAGTTCAAAATGATTAAAGGAAAAAGCAGATGTGTTGGCTCAGGGGCTCAAAGTATGCCGTCAGAACTTAGTCTTTCTTTCTGCATCTCTTGGTTCTACCCTTCTCTCTGTTGGCTTTCTTCTCAGCCAAGTTTCCCCCTTGCTTCGACTGTGCCACACTTACCTCCTATTACCCCAGCAACCCTGGGGAAAAAGGAGAATCTCATCTTCAAACATTTCCAACAGAAGTCCTGGACGCATTCATTGGTTCTAAATGACTTGGCTTTGGTCAAACCCCCATCCCTCAACCCTGGAGAGGACATGGTTGAAGGAAAGATGATTGTTTAAGGAAAACCTTTGCGCTGTTCCCAGGCAGGCAAAAGCAGCAGATGTCCTATATTGCCTTTGTGGAAGTGGTGGACTCTCATGTGGATAAGGGTATAAACTTCTGTGAGGCCCCAGGAATGAGAAATAGACGATTTGCATGAACCTCACAGGAAAGCAGATTTCAGCTTCCTCCCAAGAAGGATGTTTTCACAATAGGTAGAACCATTAGGAGTTGAAATGGGCTGCCTCAAGGTGTGCCAAGTACCAGGTCCTTCCATTTGTTCAGGTATAAACCAGATAGGCAGCTGTCAATAGTGTTGTGTAAAGAATTCCTACATTAGGCAGAGCTTTGCCTGCATGACCTGAAAGGTCTCTTTTGATGCTACAATTCTATTATCCTTGTTAATTTCCACAATTCAATTTGCAGTACAGGATAAACAAACCAACCAAATTTGATCTGAAACTTCTGCAGGCTATCATAGGTCATTTAATCTAAACCACATGGCTATAGCCATTACTCTGTTTTCTGAAGTCATCTAACAGACGTGGTCCTTAACAAGGTCTCCATGTTATTAGTTTCACTTATGGCTTTTTCCAGCCTCCTGCTTATTACACAATTGCTTTTCATTCGCCTTTAGATTGGCATGGAGAAGACCATGAAAGAGTTTTCTTCTTTCTGCCTTTCTCTTCTTAAATCTTATAATAGGTGGGTCCCAATTAAAATTACATTGTTTATATTTTTACCTCCAAATTTGGCTTTTCTTGGCAGGTTCAAGAATCTATGAGAAATAGGAGCAGGGGCATGGATAACCATAGCTCTAAACTTTACTGAGGCAAATTTTCAAAGAAGAAAGAGTGAGATTTTTGAATTTTTGATATTAAAAATTAATTTATAAACTAAGTTTAATATATTGCAATATTGTTAGAATTAGGGTACCAAACCACTTGAACCATACTCATGAAGAAATAAACACATTTGTGTTAAACAGGATTTTCTTCTTTCACAACTGAAAGCACTCCCTTCCACCATATACATATATACTCTGTTCTGCTTAAACTAGAAATGACATGTTACACAATCCAGCCTGCAAATAAAATTTAGTTTTTGCCAGAGTACATCCATCCTTAATAACCGATTATGTTTTTTATGTTTTTCAGTGAATGTTGTGTCAATGCTACAGGAATTTTGGGAAAGCAAGCAGCAGCAGAGAGCTCCATTCCCAAGTGAAGGCGTGGTGGTCTATGAGTCGTTGCCATCTCCAGGACCTCCCTTTGTGAGTTATGTGACCCTCCCAGGGGGAAGCTGTTTTGGCAACTTTCAGGTAAGAAACAACCGTAAATTGGTCAGTAAAAGTTAACTGGGTTAAAATAGAGTAAGACTTTTTATAAAATGGTAACATTATAAGCTTTCTTGGTTGTAGTGAAAAGAAAGTTGTGTTGCATTCCATTAAAATGGAAGTGTTTTATATTAGAGTGTCCCCTGATATTTCTTTATGGAAAATTAATTTTATATCACTTTATTTGCCTGATAGCTGCTGCCTTCCCTCAAAATATTTTGAAATAAACCATAAAGAACAAGGAAACTTCCATAAAGTCTCCCATCAGGGCCCTTCCATCAGTAGAAAGTCTCCACTTCCTTGAATTTTGAATCAAATCCTAATCAATCTACTATACACCAAAGCATGAACCAACAGCAAAGGTTGAGACTCACAGGTTTTGGGTTCAGGCACCCGTGCTAAGCTCAAGTTCTGCCTCTGAATAACTGTATATAATTGGGACACTTATTTAACTTCTTGATTTCCCTGACTTTGAAATGGGGAATAATATCCATGGTGTTAGTTGAAAGTCATGAGATATATATGCAATGTATTTATCTGGCACACACTAGGTATTCCAATTATTTTTTTTTTGATAATTATTATAAAGACTCTTCTAGTTGGTTAAATCTTTATTATGTCTATGATAAGGGTAATGATGATACATTTCTAGTTGTATACCAACTCACACAAAAACATTGCCTATATTAACCATCAACATCTGATTGTCCAGTGTATATGACATATATTCATTCAGTGACTAGGAAATATCAAGCATTGGGCCAACTGATGAGAATATAGTCCATACCTTGAGGAATCAGTGTGCAAAAAAATTAGAGTAATTAAATAGAGTTATATTTGAGGGTCAATGAAAGCATAAAGAAGAAACTTCTCAGTTTTTAAGTACTCCTTTAGTGCAGTAAGCTATCTCTCAATTTTCAATAACTGGCAAAAATGCCTTGTTTATATTTTATGGACAATATGCTCAACAAGCATTCAAGTGTCCCTCATAGATTTGACAACAGCAGCAAATTTTCAGTGTATCTCTTGGTAGTGTAAGTCTACAAAACTTAATGTCATGTAATTTTTTGGACTAATGTCATGCTTGATATTATTTATATTTCTACCTTTACTCTCCCTTTGAACCTAGTGTGCCTCACTTATTTATTTTATCCTGTTACTGTGTATCTATTACATGTTATTTCAAACCTTTATGAAGTGAGGGGAGAATATAGTTTAATAAATAGACCTACAAACCTATGTCTGACTCAGATAAGTCAAAGGATTCATGGGGAATGCAAGCACAAACTGAAATATGCAGTTGAGGGTGTCTTTGCTAGTCAGTATAGGGGACATGACCTTCTTAGCATAGGGAACAGTATGTGAAAAGGCCTGCCTGCAGCAAGAGAAAACCACCAGCACTTTCAGAATTTGTGAAGCCTGAGTACGTCTATGGCAGGGAAGTGGTAGGAGATGACAGGTTAGGCATTCATATCAAACCATAATGGGTCTTTATGCTCTGCAAAAGAGAATAGGTTTTATTCTATATAAAATCAGAATCCCTGAAGGATTCTGAGCAGGAGACTGATGTATTCAAATATGTTTCAGAAAGATTATTCTGGCAGTAGCATGGGGCTAATTTTAAGGCTAATTAAAGAACTATTTTCAAAATTTCTGGCCCAGCCAGCCACTGAGGTCTTGCTTTCTCCTACCCTGAACATTGATCGGCAATGGACCTCTGTTTGACCTCTGACTAACAACAGTGAATTGCCTGATGAGGGTGATTTGAAAGTGGGTCTAGAAGCCTCAAAACAGAGCTTAATACAGGCTCCTGGGTGGCTCAGTTGGTTAAGCATGGCCAACTCAGTTTCGGCTCAGGTCACGACCTCAGGATTGTGAGATCAAGCCCTACATCCAGCTCTGCACTCAGTGGGGAGTCTGCTTGAGATTCTCTCTCTCTCCTTCTGCCCCTCCCCCTGCTCATGACTTGTCTCTGTCTTTCTCAAATAAATAAATAGATAGATAGATGATAGATTAGATAGATAGATAGATAGATAGATAGATAGATAAAATCTTTTTTAAAAAAGCCAAAAAACCAAAACAAAACCACTGAGCTTAATATAACCACAGACAGACAAGGATGAGGGGCAGGAGACGGGGAAGAAAGGCAGCAACCGAGGAAGGGGTTTCTTAGTCCACGTGAGCCTGCAGGTGCATCATCAAGCATTGTAAGACGAAGCTGTCCTACTCATACAGAGCTGCCATCAGGCTTCCCATTCAGGGGAGGCCTTCTGGGGAAACATACCTACTCAGCCACAGAGCAAGGTCTTGCCAGCCAACTGAATGACTCTCTTTGTGCATGAATGTCAATGGACTAAAGACCACCAAACATTTGAGGAAAACCAAAAACAAAGGAGAAAGGCCAAGTCAAACAAACAAAAGAATATAAATAATTCAAGCCACAGATGACATAAGAGAGGATTCCAGTTAGTATCCTCAGAAAATTGGGGGAGGATATTTATCGAAAGCAGCTATGAAAAAAGGAGAAAGCAGGGAACAAGAAATGTAAAATATGACTGCCAAATTAGAACAATAAAAATAAATAAAAGAAGAGCAAATAGATGAGTGGACATAGGTCACAGCCAAATTAGTGGAGATGACAAAATAAAAAATAAATAGTAAAATAAATCTTTTAGAACAGAGAGCAAAAAGACAAAGAGATGGAAAAAAAATAATACAGGCAACATGGAGATAAATCCTGGAGGTAAACATTAATAAGAGTTCTAGAAAGAGACAAAGGAAATAGAGGAGAGGAAATAAATAACAGGAGCAATTTTCTTTTTTTTTCTTCTTTTTTAAATATTTATTTGTTTGTTTGTTTGTTTGTTTGTTTATTTAAGGGTGTGGGGAAAGGAGAGCATGAGTCGGGGGAGGGCCAGAGAGTGAGGAAGAGAATCTCAAGCAGACTCCCCACTGAGCTCGGAGCCCCAGGTGGGGCTCAGTCTCACAACCCGGAGATCATGACCTGAGCCGAAACCAAGAGTTGGACGCTTAACCAACTGAGCCACCCAGGTGGCCCAACAGAAACAATTTTCTTGAGTTAAAGAAAAGCACAAATTTTCATATTGAAATGACCCACTGTATTCCAAATGGATCATGATGAAAGAATCACAGAGCTCCATGGCTGTATGGAACTTAGGGACAACATTCTGCTTAAAAGATGGATGAAGGTGCTTTTTTTGATACTAGATTTATAATTGATCTCTGGTTTGGTTTTTAGTTTTTAATTTTATTTTAATGTAGATTGAATTTTTATGTAAGATAGCTTTGGAGGACCTGATGTAATAGGGCAAAAACTGACAAACCCAGTCAACAAAACCAAACTATTTTTTTGGGAAAAGATAAGAAAGAAAAATCTTTGGCATTTCTGAGTAAGAAAAAATGCAAAGCATATACTACACTAAGCATGATAAAAGGAATGCAATTATAGGTATATGAGATGAGAATACTACATAAACAATTATATTAAACAACAGAGATGAAATTGACTACTTTTGGGAAGTCTTTGTATTATCTATGAAACTCTTCCATAAGTCTAAAATTATTTCAAAATTAAAAGTTAAAAAAAATCTTCAATGGCTCCCTATTATCTTCTTATTAGAGTCTAAATTCCTTACTCTTTCAGCTTTATCACCCTGAATTCCTCTTCTGACACTCAGTGCTTCATCCTAACTGTTCCTCATTCATGCCTCTACTTCTTCTAGCTGCTACTTATGTGCATGTTCTGTCTCTATAATAAAACATAAATGTCTCAAGGATAAGGTCTATATCCTTATATCCCTATGACTCCAAACACTGTGCTTTGCATATAGTAAGTGCCCAATAAATTTTGTTGAATGAATAGCTAAATGAATGAATAACAAATCTCAAAAATCAATGGAGTTTATTGTATATAGTCACGATTGATGTACAAAATAGTATGTACTATTATATACAATATATCAAATAAGATATTTTACCTAACTGTAAGATGGTGGGCTGGCAAAGAAAAGTCAGGAACATTAAAATCAGGTAATATTACGGGCGCCTGGGTGGCTCAGATGGTTAAGCGTCTGCCTTCGGCTCAGGTCATGATCCCAGCGTCCTGGGATCAAGTCCCACATTGGGCTCCCTGCTCCTTGGGAGCCTTCTTCTCCCTCTGCCTCTCTCTCTCTCTCTGTCTCTCTCTCTGTCTCTCATGAATAAATAAATAAAATCTTTAAAAAAAATAAAAAAATAAAATCAGGTAATATTATTATGTTCATATCTGTGGTTTAAAGTTTTGAAGGTGGATTAACTTAAAAATATTGATGTAAAAAAACATCTAATTCTCTCTGAATTTATTTTGTGCATAGTAACTTTCCTTCTACCCAATATGCATGACCAAGAATAAGCAAGATTTGGCCATTCCCTCACTCAAGTGTGCATTATGTTTGTCTATATGTAATAAATGCACTCATTATAATCTCCTAGAATGTAACATATTTGACAGAGCAGTGAATGGATCTAGAGGATATAAATTTAAGAAATTCAAATTTCCTTGTTTTTGTTTTTGCTTTCACTACCTTGAGAATTATGAATTTCCCAATCATCTCATAAATTTCTACCTAAAATGATAGGACTTCCCCTTGATAGTACATTCAACATCCTCCTTGTGGTCTTTAAAAAATAGAAAACAAAATGAAAAACTGAACTCTTCACCAGGGAGGCCTCTTGGTGATTTCTCTAATCATTTCAGGGTCTCCTTTACCTTATGTTTAAATCATTATATTTTAAAGTTCTCGGGAGGATTGTTAACATCCTTGCTTTAAAGGATGCAGAATTTCCTGAATCAAATGTTTTGAAAATGTGTTTGGGTGATTGGCTGACAAATCTGGCCCCTTAACCCCTTTGACCCTCCAAAATATGATTTGAGAAAGGAAAATCAGGAAGTAAAAAAAGGAGAGAAAATTTCTCCTAAAGCAACG